AGATATGCGTGATTTCAGACTCTGGGAATAGAACAACTCTGGAAATAGTCAACAGGTAAAACACATGTATGTTTGTGTAAGGGGAAGAAAGGGGAGGAGGTGACGAGGGGAAGGGGAAATGCTGAACGGTGGATAACTGAGAGAGAGACAGAGAGAGAGAGAGAGAGAGACGCAGAGAGAGAGAGACGCAGAGAGAGAGAGACGCAGAGAGAGAGAGACGCAGAGAGAGAGAGAGAGACGCAGAGAGAGAGAGAGAGACGCAGAGAGAGAGAGACGCAGAGAGAGAGAGACGCAGAGAGAGAGAGAGAGAGAGAGAGAGAGAGAGAGAGAGAGAGAGAGAGAGAGAGAGAGACAGACATTCTTCGACCCTTCTTTCTCACCATTCTTAAGCTAACGACGGAGCACCTGGGGCGTATACAATCCCGCCCCCCCCCCAACCCCTCTGAGGGGGGTAAAGAGAGGGGGGGGGGTTTCTTCCCAGGTTGGTGAGGGGAAACTTAAGTTTTTTTCCCTTTTCCTGCGACTCTTGGCTCACTGTCTGGCTTTATTTTTGTACCTCATTTCCCCCCCCCCCCCACCCTCATTTTTCCTCATCTCTCACCTCCGACTGTGCTGACATGAGGCATCATTAAAGTTGCTAAGATTGGCAGCATTATTACGGGTTATTCATGCCCGTGCCACCTCTTGGGTGGCTTGATCTTCATCAGTCAATCAATCAGCAAGCATTGAGGTCAGGTCAAGGGCGCCTTAGTTCGGTTGGTGCCGGGCGGAGGCTGGTGGAGGCCGGGTGGAGCCGGGCGGAGGCCGGGCGGAGGCTGGTGGAGGCCGGGCGGAGGCTGGTGGAGCCGGGCGGAGGCTGGTGGAGCCGGGCGGAGGCTGGTGGAGCCGGGCGGAGGCTGGTGGAGCCGGGCGGAGGCTGGTGGAGCCGGGCGGAGGCTGGTGGAGCCGGGCGGAGGCTGGTGGAGCCGGGCGGAGGCTGGTGGAGGCCGGGCGGAGGCTGGTGGAGGCCGGGCTGAGACCGGTGGAGCCGGGCGGAGGCCGGGCTGAGACCGGTGGAGCCGGCGGAGGCCGGGCTGAGACCGGTGGAGCCGGGCGGAGGCCGGTGGAGCCGGGCGGAGGCTGGTGGAGCCGGGCGGAGGCTGGTGGAGGCCGGGCGGAGGCTGGTGGAGCCGAGCGGAGGCCGGGCGGAGGTCGGTGGAGCAAGGTGGAAGCTTTACGATCTCCTGCTTTACGATAGTGCCATTTCATCGTCGTTATTGGGTCAAGTTATTTATCGCTCCGGTAACTTTTTAATAGCGCCTGTCGATTCCGGCCGGGCCCGTGTTTGGCGCCTCTCTCCCGCCTCAACTGGAAGGTCGCTCTGGTGAAGAGGGGGTGCGATTTTAAACGGGATTCGAACCCATTATTGCTGGCATCTGCGGCGATCAGTCGCGTCGTGGGGCATTAAAGCCAGTTGAAGTATATCAGGGTATATATGATATATATATATCATATATACTTCAAAAGAAGTATATCAGTTATTTCTATCATCCATTATCATCCTTCCAGGGTTGGCCTGGAAGTGGGCATAGAGACTCTACCCTAATGGAGCACTAGAGGGCTCAATAGTACCCTTATCACCTCCCCTTAACAGTCTGCCTGCCATGCCTAAGGGTATAAGAGAAAAGGGGCGCTCTTCCAGACCTCTGCCCTGATATATATATATATATATATATATATATATATATATATATATATATATATATATATATATATATATATATATATATATATATATATATGTCGTACCTAGTAGCCAGAACGCACTTCTATGCCTACTATGCAAGGCCCAATTTGCCTAATAAGCCAAGTTTTCATGAATTAGTTTGTTTTTTTCGACTACCTAACCTACCTAACCTAACCTAACCTAACTTTTTCGGCTACCTAACCTAACCTAACCTATAAAGATAGGTTAGGTTAGGTTAGGTAGGGTTGGTTAGGTTCGGTCATATATCTACGTTAATTTTAACTCCAATAAAAAAAAATTGACCTCATACGTAATGAAATGGGTAGCTTTATCATTTGATAAGAAAAAAATTAGAGAAAATATATTAATTCAGGAAAACTTGGCTTATTAGGCAAATCGGGCCTTGAATAGTAGGCTGAGAAGTGCGTTCTGGCTACTAGGTACGACATATATATATATATATATATATATATATATATATATATATATATATATATATATATATATATGTATATATATATATATATTTGGACGAATAATTGCTTGTATTTTCTGACAGTTTAATTGGTGTGGCTTTACTCAACCATCCCTGCCAGACACCACAATACTGTCTAGAACTTGTAGAACGTGTTCTCCAGAACACTGAAGAACACACACACCACGAGGAAAAAAGCTGAGCTATGTGTTTAGAGGGACCAGTGGCTTCCTGGACCAGAAACTTCTGTAGAGTCTGGTTGATCAGGGGCCAGATTCACGAAAGCACTTACGCAAGAACTTACGAACCTGGTGCCAGATTCACGAAGCAGTTACGCAAGCATCTTACGAACCTGTACATCTTTTCTCTATCTTTGGCGGCTTTGTTTACAATTATTAAACAGTTAATGAGCTCGGAAGCGCCAGGAGGCTGTTTATAACGATAACAACAGTTGAGTGGGAAGTTGTCATACTTGTAAACTGTTTAATAAATGTAAACAAAGCCGCCAAAGATTGAGAAAAGATGTACACGTTCGTAAGTGCTTGCGTAAGTGCTTTCGTGAATCTGGCCCCTGGTTTCTATTTTTAAGAGGTGTTTATCAAGTTTCATTCACTTGGATCATTCACTTGGATCATCGGGGATTCACACTCGTATGCGCACTCAGGCTAAAAATCAACGTAATTGGAAATGAAATCGGCTGACGGAAGTGACGTACTGTCCCGTTTTTCGTTTTGGGTCCTCTGGCTTCGGCACATCTCACCAGGCTTCCAAGAAATCCCATTTTATGTATACACGTCCAAGGCTACCTGATCAACCGGGCTGTGACTAATACGTCAGACTGCATCTAACAGCCTGGTTGACCAGACTGTCAGCGAGGCCCCTGGGTATTGATATACGCCCTTTTCGAGGCTGATGTTTAGGGGGAGCAGTGCCCTTCTCTACGGCCTTCTTGTAGAGTACTGTGGTGGTGGAGGAGTACTGTGGCGCGGTGGAGTAGTGTAGAGGGCAAGTGCTGTAAACTATATACTGAGTATACTTGCAAAAGCAGACTCCTAGAGGAAGCAACACTCACCTACTCTACCCCTGCAATGCACGCTTCACAGTCTTAAATATATCAACGTTAAATCTTAAACATTTTACTTTCGTCAACACGCCCATTACCCATTTGTGAATTTTTACCTGACTTTACCTCATAAACTTTCGAGTGCTCGTTAGTTGGCTCGTAAACTGTGCCATACTCATCACGGAACATAACTAAGTGCTGCTCTTTCTGTTTCCTCTTACGCTGACCAGCTCGTTAAGATGTAGGAGTTGTAGACCGAGTCGTAGGTGGGATTTATGCTCGTAAAACTGGCCTAGATTCCCCCCCCCCCCCCGTTGCACTCGTAAAAGAAATAATGGTTTGGCTGGAACAAGCACTGGCGTTGTTTGTTTTCGATTAAGGGGACCAACTGTAGTTGGTCGCGCTGGAACGCTGGACAAATTCTGGAACTGCAATTCCAGGCAGTGTTACCTTTGTGGGAAGAGTAATATTTGTATAGATCCTGGAAGTGATTCCAGGCAGTGTTATAGTTGCGGTAGAGTAAAGAATGGATAAATCCTGGAACTGCGAATCCAGGCAGTGTTCTGTTTGAGGGAGAGTAAAGAATGGATAAATCCTGGAACTGCGAATCCAGGCAGTGTTCTGTTTGTGGGAGAGTAAAGTATGGATAAATCCTGGAACTGCGAATCCAGGCAGTGTTCTGTTGGATAGTGAAGAACAAAGGCCAAAGCACCAGACGACAGCATTTGGCTTCTAAACTCAGCCGCTCAAGTGATTATAAAAATGTCAAAATATCACCAGATAAAATGCCCAGTAGCGCATTTCTCACCTGGAAGACGTAAGAAATTTTCACTTCGTGCCAGTAATTACAGGTGAGTGCCTTGTCGCACCTGGAGTGGCACCTGGGGACAGGTTTCCTTGTACTTACATTCAAATATAATCACCTGTTTATTATCCTTAATGGCAAGTTTGGGACTCGTGACGGCGACTGCGACCGATCTCTTACCAGAAGTGGTAATTCAGAGTCCTGTCGTCGACCTGTAATGACCCCAATTTGACCCAACCATGCGACAGGTCACGTGTTGCAGCCGGCAAGTGTGGAGAGGTCATTTTCTGCCCCCCCCCTATCACTATCTCCTTTCCCATCCATCTCTAAACTGGAATTGGCTTCAAAATAGTCCTCAGGTTGAGAGGACCCGGAGAGGGATTCGTTTCCAGGTGAAAAATGGGGGTTTCAGAGTGATGATATTCCCATCATTGAATATGATCTAGAAACGAATATTCAGTGGTACAAGGGATTGGATACATGCGCTAGGGATTGGAGGGCTTAGGTTCATGCCCTTGGGATTAGAGGGCCCGGAAAAATGCACTAGGTATTGGAGGACCGTGAAAAATGCGCTTGAGATTGGAGGGCCTGGCAACATGCCCTAGGGATTGGATGGCGTTTATACGTATGCTAGGGATTGGATGGCCTGGTAACATGCCCTTGGGATTGGAGGGCCTGGCAACATGCCCTTGGGATTGAAGAGTCTGGCAACATGCCCTAGGGATTGGATGGCGTTTATACGTATGCTAGGGATTGGATGGCCTGGTAACATGCCCTTGGGATTGGAGGGCCTGGCAACATGCCCTAGGGATTGGATGGCGTTTATACGTATGCTAGGGATTGGATGGCCTGGTAACATGCCCTTGGGATTGGAGGGCCTGGCAACATGCCCTTGGGATTGAAGAGTCTGGCAACATGCCCTAGGGATTGGATGGCGTTTATACGTATGCTAGGGATTGGATGGCCTGGCAACATGCCCTTGGGATTGGAGGGCCTGGCAACATGCCCTTGGGATTGGAGAGTCTGGCAACATGCCCTAGGGATTGGATGGCGTTTATACGTATGCTAGGGATTGGATGGCCTGGCAACATGCCCTTGGGATTGGAGGGCCTGGCAACATGCCCTTGGGATTGGAGGGCCTGGCAACATGCCCTTGGGATTGGAGAGTCTGGCAACATGCCCTAGGGATTGGAGGCCCTGCATACGTGTGCTAGGGATTGGAGAACTCTAAAAGGTGCACTTGGAAATATATAATGGATAGAGGAAACACTTCGCTAATACCGGTGTTTCTTAAATTTAGAAACTGGAAATGCGCTCTCAAGGGCGTAGAGGATTTTGAACAAATGTTTTCGAGTGTTGATATTTCTTGGTATCTGGCTTCCAGGTTACTAGGTCTCTACAAGATGGCTTCCAGGATGTTCGGTGAAAAATGACCTGGAAATATAAGTGTGTTTTCAGACCTACGACTGGAAACTTCCTGGAAGACTTGCACAGATATTCGACTTTCTTTTTAAATAGAAGGATGAGAATTCCTGGAAAGTTGCTTTTCGAAGACGTAGTATCTTTTTTTTTTTGTTGATTTTTGGTTTCATTTGAGAAGTTTTGGAAGACGGATTCTACAATATGCAAAATTCTTCCGTAATCTTTCCTCACCCCCAAAAAATGTCATTGAGTGGGGGGGGGGGGTATGGAGGGGGGGGAGTATTTTGAGACACGAGAGGGGGGGGGGAATTGTGCGATAGGGGGGGGACTGAGATGAGAGAGATAAGTATATTTAGACATGAGAAGGTAATTCAGAGACATGTTAGTAGTGTACTCACCTAGTTGTGCTTGCGGGGGGGGGATGAGCTTTGGCTCCTTGGTCCCGCCTCTCAACTGTAGGTCCCGTCGTGTCCCCTCGCCCTCGTGTGTGGCGAGGAGGAGGAGGATGGGGGGTGGGGGAAGGGTGTACAAATACCATCACTGAGAGTGTACAATAAAGCCCAAATGTTTCCGCACCTTACCATCACAACACAACCTATCTCTCAATCACCCCTCATCCTGGCCCCAGGCGGGTCTTGGGGGAGTTACAAGAACTCGCGAAACATCCTCCAGGTACACTCCAGGTAAACTCCAGCTCTGGGGGGGTATATACCCAGAACGTCGTGAATACAAAAGTCACATTAGCCACTAATTTGCC